AGGTATTCCTTATCGATTGCGATAGCACGTAGGTTATTTCGTTACCTAAAATAAATTAAAACTGAATTTTTTTTTTAATATTAAAAGAATATTTTGCATATTTAAGGACATAAAACATCATATATCTGGTATTTTAAAAGAATATTAAGAGAATATATTGCCTAATTTATGCAACATAAAAACATTGTATTTTAAGGATTTTAAGAGAATATACATCCGGCCTCTACTCATTAGATATGGAGGAAATTATTGATGAGTCAATACAGTCAAAACACTGACTCCAATACAGAGAAGTGGTGGGCTAATTGGCTTCAATTTTTGGTGGTGCAGAGAAATATTATAATTTGATCCCTCAAAATACTTCAAATTCGGAAATTCCCTAGTTGCAGTAGCCAGTAATTAATAATTATTAGTATAAAAAATTTTAAAAAAAGATCGTTGTTTGACAATTATAACTTTATAGATATATTTGTTCAATAAATAAAATATGGAATTTTTAAAATAAAAATGTAGAGTGAAATATAACTTGCACTACCAAATGTACGCAACTCCAGAGAAGAATACCATTGTGCTATATAGTATATACTATTGTCTATAAAGTAAAATACGAGTATATCTAACATTATGTAAATTAATAATTGTTTTTATTTTATATATTAGTCAATAATAATATGAAATTTTCTTTATTTTCATTATCAATAAAACAGTGTCTAACAAATTTAAATTTATTATAAACTATTTGTAATAATATATAAAGACAATATTCATCTTACTGAATTTTAATAGGTCAAGTAACCACCAACGAAAATAATTCTGCACACCTTGTGAAAAATCCCTAAGCACGCCTATGAATACTTCAAAATATTCGAAATCATAGGTCGAAATCATAGGTATTCTATAATCCAAATAATACATATACCTATACTCGTAACCCTTTATGCCTTTGTTCTTATTTTTCGTTATTTGTGAAATTAATTTTCACTATGGTATACCTTAATACAAAATGTTTTAAAGTCATAACACAAAAACTCTGAAGCTTTGCATATTTCGATTTAGATAATTTGTCATTTCTGAAATGAAGCACACAGGTATCAGGAATTTTATTGCTTTTGTACGATACAATTCATTTTTTTCTTATCTCGATTTGTCACTTACGTTTTCTGTATTTTTTTTTTTAGTTTATTCTTAAAATAATACATTTTTTTCCCACAACAGTCGGTACAAATAAGAACATAAACTACGTAATTATATTAAGTCCCCTTCCTCATTTATGGGTACCTGCACATATTCAATTATTTACAATATTAAACAATTCGTGTACTGTACAAAAATAATACCTACGTGTGAGACGTGGAAGTATTTTTTTGATTATCCAATTACTATAAAGAAAAGACAAGAGGATTGCGACGATAATGAAACTGTACTTCATATACGAATTGATAATAATAAAATTGTCGAAAAAAAAATCCTATTAACTAGGTATTGACTAAAAAATGAATCTAATGATTTTCAACTTGAACAGTAGTTTTAGCCCCAGTAAATGTTTAAATAAATGTATATAGATTTACGTTGTTATAATTTTTATAGATTAAACTATTACAATTATTTATAGAATAATTTAATCAATTAACTATATAATATTATAATCAGCTTGAAATATACATTTAGGAAATTGTTTAATCGCTATAAAATTACAGTTTATAATAACTAGGAGGTACTTATAAATCTGGTCACATTTTTAAGAGGGTTAGATTAATTTATATTTAGATAATGTAACTTATATGCTTACAAATTGATTTAAATTGGCCTCATTTTACTATTAATCAAATGGTACTGAGGGTCTCTCATCAAATATGATATAATTGACATTAATCAAAATATTTTATCCAACCTTTGAATCTGATTTAAAGTTACCTATTTTTACAATGTGACAGTAAATAAATTTAATTAGAGTATCTTAAATTCTTAGATAGTTTTATACACATTGGGTATTTATAATTAATTATAAATAACAAATCGTTTCGATATAATTAGGTTCCTATATAGCATATTATGTCTATATTATATCTACTATAAATAATTTACCTAAGTTAAATATCATTTCATAAAATTTTTAAAAAAAATTATTGATTCAAAATGATAATAATGTCAATTTTATTAATTTGTATTTCATTAAGAGGACACCACACCTCAACACATACATATTTTGTTATCTCTATCTTAAAAGTTAAAAGTGAGTAACACGACGAAACTAGTCCAGCAATTCACGTTTAGCTTCGTTAACTTAGAATGAATTAACCTATTATATGAAACTTATTAATAGCAAGAACATTAATGTGCTCGTATATCGTTATTTTAACAATAATTCCATTTTTAAGCAATTTATGAGAATATTTTTTATTTTAATTAAGCTTTTCACATACCTATTGGTAATACTCGCAAAATCACTCACTTGTACTGACTAGGTACGGAGACAACAAAATACTTCGGTTTGACGTCTTCTTTAATGTCGTTATCCTTATCCGTCAAATTGTTGACTAGATTTTTATTTCATAGCACATCGACTAACTTTAAAATAAAAAGTAAATTCAATACAATTTTAAAAATAAACTATAGTAAACGTTTATCAACATTTTTATTAAATATACACAATATATTTGTATTTATATTTACTATATTTTGAGTAAATTATAATATGCACTTTTGATTTTTGATTTTTATCCGATAGGCATAACTGCTGATGTTTTCAAATTATTGTAATTCCAATTATTAATTAATTATTGACAATAACAAGTAATATGAATCTTAATTACAATTATTCACGAATAGATTAAAATTATAATAATATTAAATATATTAATATATGTATGATACAGCACCGATCAACATCATGCTAAACACGAAATCCATTAAAATTATTATGATTACAATACAAAACATTATTATATATATATAAAGGTTAGRTTAGATAGGTAGGTACGTAATATTTGTCCATTGTCAAATTTGTGAAATACATTCATTATACGTAAACGTTTTAGCTAGGTAGTGCATTAGGTGTATGAAAAAATAATAATAAGTAGGTATTTAGCTAGGAGGCGAAATTTTTTAATATTTATATATAATATGCATACCTGCCTATGGTAAAATGCTCAAATATCGTATGACGCGTAGTCACTTAAAAACATGTTCGTGAAATCCATCGTCAAATCACGTACCTACAAATTAATACACGTTATATACATTCAGGCACAATATTTTAATATTATTCAGACAAGCCCGCGCGGGTCAATCGCGACGTTTATGCTACTTCGTATTTATATWATTTTCTACGACGCACTACACAAACGCAGCAAATGCAGCAAACGCACCTAATCCATATATACACCGACGACAGTCTGTCGCCAACCACCTGCTGTGTGCAATTCGATCCGCACATGGTTAATACCGCATTACCGCGTATACCTACATAATAATATTATATTATATTAGTGTCCTGCGACGACGATAGACTTGACATATTGTGACGACGACGACGATGCGGTCAACATAATATCGCAACCATTGCATATAAAATGTACACCTAATATATACTATATAGTTAGGTGTACAATACAATATAATTGAATAAAAATATTAATACAAGTCGTGACGGAGTCATATTTCGTACTGGGTATCTCGCGCACAATTATTTTTATTATTATTTTCAGTGCAAATACTGCAATATACATGTTATGTAGGGTAGTGATGAACTATATGTAATATAATATTGTATACCCACACTGTGTAGATAATATAATAATGATAATATCATAAACGAATAATAGTTATAAGAATAATATAAAAATAGGTACCTAGTTGTGATTATATTATGTGTATCACATATTGTCGTCGATTCACTATTAAAACCGCGTTTCTAAATCAATGGTACAYCGGTACACGTACCATTATATAGTGGTACGCGGATAGCTCATAATAAGTGGCATACGCATAATTATCCGCATTAAATACAACTTGCTTCATTTGATATCAATAATCATTGTGAATACTTATTTCATTTTCCATTAATTGTGCATCCATTAAA